TACATACAACGTTGCAGCACGTAATCTGCTGTTGTTATCATTCTCAGATGTTCACTCACAGATGTCCAATGTTATGATTTACTGCTGAAAACACTACTGTGTTTTGAAATGAAAACTAAAAAAAGAAATATTCGACTTACGTCAGAACCGACTTATGACGGACTCGTTGACAGAACCCCATCGTACGCTGGGAACCACCTGTAGTTATAATTAGCGTAAATGACACACAGTGAAGTGTTCAGGCCTTAAGTGAACAACTCGATGAATTTGTTCATGTGTTTACATCTGTGTAACCACCACCTAGATCAAGCTATCGAACATTCCATTACCCCAAAGGCTCTCTCATGCCTCTTCCCAGTCATGGCCATCTGCCCAAAACTAACCACTGTCCTGACTTCTCTCACTGTGGATTAGTTTTGCCTATTTCTGAACTTCATATGAATGGAATAAACCAGAATGCATTCTTGTGTCAGCCTCTTTCATGCAACACCATGTTTGTGAGATTCATCCATGCTGCTGTGTATAGCAGTTCATTCTTTTTCAGTGCCGTGAAGTATACCAATGTACAAATAAACAGAAATTTACTGTTGATGGACTTTGGGTTGTTTCCAGTTTGTAGTATTATGAACAAAGTTGCTACAAACATTTGTGTACAAGTCTTTGTGTGGACATGTTTTCATTTCTCTTGGGTAATTACCTAGGATTAGAATCGCTGGGATACAAGGTAAGTGTATGTTTAACTTTATAAGAAACTGCCCAACTACTTTGCAAAGTGGCTGTACTTTTTTGCATTTCCATCAGCAATGTACAAGAGTTTCAGTTGCTCTACATCCTTGTCAACACTTGGTATTGTCAGTCTTTTTCGTTTTAGCCATTCTAGTGGATGTAAGGTTCACATCCCTGCCTCATCTATTCCTTACAGTAAGTCTTTGGAGGTGGATACCATCTGTAGTAGATTAAAGATGGGCACAAATGCTTTAAATTTCCCCCCATGAAGAAGTGGAGTCTACATTCTCTCCCCTTAAATCTGGGAGTCCTATGTGACTGATTTGACCAATAAAACATAACAGAAGGGACACTGTACCAATTTCCATACCCAGGCCTCATGGGACTTGGCAGCTTCCACTTCGTGTCTCTTGGAATGTCTGCACTGAGGAAGGCCAGACTGCACCAGGAGGAAATCCAGGCTAGGTAGGTGAAGAGGCTGCATGGAAAGGGAGTTATGCCAGCCAGTCCCCACCACAGCAGCCACCCCAGTCCAGGCACTAGACAAGTGAGGGAAGGAGCCAACTGAAACATTTCCGCCCCAGTGGGAGCCACATGGCTCAGACACATGGCCTCAGACGAGCAGTCCCAGCCATCCCCAGCAATCAAGTCATCCCAGGAGACACCCCAGACAACAGAGAGTAGAGATCAGCTGTCCCCTCTGTGCCCTGCCTTGATCCACATAATAAATTGGTTGTTGGTTTACACCACTAAATTTTGAGGTAGTTTGATGTAGCAGTATAATCAGAACCATTATCTCCATTTTACAGGGGAGAAAATAAAGGTTCAAAGAGGTAACGTGATGTGCCCAAGATCCCACAGTGGGTCAGAGCTTGAGCTACCAACAATTAGCATTATCTAAATTCCCTGGGTGGTGCAAATGGTTAAGTACTCGACTACTAGCTGAAAGGCTGGCAGTTCAAATCCACCTGGAGGTGCCTCAGAAGAAAGCCCTGATGATCTGCTTCTGAAAGGTCAGTCCTGAAAACCCTATGGAGCAGTTCTACTCTGCACGCACACGGTCATCATGAGTTGGAACCGACTCAACAGTAACCAACAATAACAAGGTAAAAAAGTCCCGGGTCCAGAGTATTAGTGAATTCCAGAGAGTGACCAAGGACAGGCTGGTGGAGAAATTAATGCATCACACCGGAAGCTGGACTTCATGTCTAATAGCTGGATTTTATCAGAAATGAAGCAGTTTCACTCTGAACCGCACAGCACAGAGCCTGGCTTCTATCTGGCCTCTAACGTGATCAAGCAGGACTTCCGAAGGCTGAAGCAGGGACCCTGCAGACGGCAGTCCACGATGTGACATCACCCTGAAGGCCTCCATGCATCCCTAGCTTGAGTTTGAAAGCAGCTGGACAGAGAAAAGGTGGTCCCAAGCCTTTTCTTGGTTGCCTCGGATAACTAGGCACCTCTTTCTGAGTAATGGAGCCCATAACACACGGTGCAGACGTTATCAAGTAAGGCAGGCATCAACTGTTGGGTCAGAGGGCGGCTTCCATAACATAAATGGCATCTGCACATAGCATCTATTATGGATTGTATTGTGCCCCCGAAAATATGTGTTGTAAATCCTAACCCCTATTCCTGTGGTTATAATCCCATTTGGGAATGGGTTTTCTTTACATTAACGAGGCAGAATTAGTGCTGGGTGTGTCTTAAATCAATCTCTGTTGAGATACAAAAAGAGCAGACTGAGCAAGTAACAAAGCAAGCACAGATGAGGGAAGATAGATGGCACGTCACATGAGCTCTTCAAGAAACCAAGAAACACAAGCTGAAAAGAGAGAAGGACCTTCCCCGAGAGCCAACAGACAGAAACCCTTCCCCTAGATCCAGCGCCCTGAAGTTGGACTGCCAACCTCCCGAACGGTGAGAAAATAAATTTCTGTTTGTTAAAGCCGCCCACTTGCGGTATTTCTATTATCGCAGCACTAGAGAACTAAGACAGCATCATAGCAGGGACTGTAAACTAAAGACACCTACAGGGGCCACAGAACACCGTATATTAGCACAGCAGACTGGGTACATTTTAGCAACATAGACACACTTCATTTGTATATTAAACACACTGAAATCATCTTCACTTCCACAAGGAAGCGTGCTCCCTTCCATTTCTTAAAAGGTGGGGCCCTCTTGGTCTGGCGTTATTTTCTCCCTCTCAGCCGGGCCACAAGTACAGAGAAATAGACTCTACCGTAAGTGGGGACGGTGAAAATCTGGAGAGCACACACGCTGTCCACAGGGGGTGGCCACTCGGCAGGTCTAGCTGATGGCTGTCGGGCATTTTTCTGGAAACATCCAACGTATCAGCAGGTAGGATTGGGCCCTTGGGTCACCTGTGTGTGACCTGAGCATCTCCAGGCTTCGAGTTGGGAGAACCTTCCCGATACTGCCTGTGACATGAGCACAGGCCTCCCGCCACGGGAAGCCTCGAAGTTTCAAGGGCTGGATGGCATGGGCCTATCTCCAGCCTATCCAAGCTGACTGCTACTTCGAGTTCTCCTCTCAGGCTGGATGGTGGGTTTCCTTTCACAGAACGCCCACCTGGGTGATGTGGCTGGGACTTGAGAACAAAGATGCTCCTGGGGTCACCAGCCCACATGATCTTCCAAACCCGCCTTCCTTGCCTCGTGCTCCAACATTCTCCATGTGGAGCCCAGAAATACCACACCCTCAGGTCTTCCCGCCTTTGCACAGGCTGGTCCCATCTGTTAAACTCTTTCTGTTCCTCCTTCAAGCCTCAAATTAGTCATCCCCTGCTCTGAGAAGCCTTCCCAATTTCCCAGGCAGAATTTAATGCCTCTGCTCAGGGATTCCTTTGCTCCTTGAGCACGCCCTCATGACAGCAATGGGTGACAATTGTTTGTACACAAATTGGTCTCCCCCAATAGACTGGGGGCCCAGGGAGGAAAGAGATGGATCTGACCCTCTGCACCCTCAAGGTCACCATGGGACCTAGTCATGAAAAGGGGCCTAATGTTTGGTGATGAAGAAGAGACTAGCCAGCCCATTAAAAGCCTGTCTTGTTACTCAGCTCCCACCTGGACCCACATCTGAACTCAAAACTTAGCTCTCACGTGTGAAAAACCACATAGGTCCTCTTGGGAACATTTCCAGGTTGTTTACTTCTGTGTCCCCAGAGGCTGGCACAGGGCTTGGCACTGTGGGCACTCAAATGTCTGCTGAATAAATGGGGATAACATGGTGGTCACCATGTTGGGTTGCTTCTAGGGAAAACGAGGTAAGGAATGAAGCATACTATGTACCATGCTTAGCACAAGGTAGGTGTTCAATAAGTTTCTGGGGCTGTTATTACTGTTGCTTCCTTGGGCTCTCACAAATGCCTCTCAGGTACCGGATGCTGGGCTTCGCCAAGGCACAAACTGAACTACTGGGCCCAACTGGGTAAGTTTCTCCCATCCAGGGAAAGGCAGAACCTGGTCACAATATGGAGCTCCACCCCTTGGGCCTCCAGGCAGAAGGAAGCCCAAACTGGATTGCTGGTTTGCCTTTAATAAGCTTAGGATCTTCCCTAAAATTCCATCTTTGCCCCTAGGGGACCTACATCCAACTCGCAATAATCCTGAAAAAGTAAGACTCTAGAGGAGATTTCTAGAGAATCTAAGGTGGAGACTGTGTCTTCTAGGCCTAAGGCATTGTCTTCCATCTTCTTCCCTACCTAGCCAAGGAGATTTAACCCAACAAAGCAGGGTAGGAGGCAAAAGCTGAGAGAGCAACAGGATTCAGGAAGGAACTCATGCCCAACCCCACCACAGGCTACAGTCTGGGCAAGAGGCTCCTCCTAGGCCTCACAGGCCTGAAGCCATTTCCTGGCTGTCTCCATGTTTGCACTGTGAACTGCGCAGAGCCAGAGGAAAGTTAAATATAGTCTTAGCATCCCCGCTGAACGGCTCCCTGCATTGGTGCCCGAGAGTGCCACCTTGTGGCTCACTCCTGGCTCCTCTGTGGAATAAAAACCATCTCGAGGGAAGGACGTTATCAAGATGGCCGCCTCAGGAAACACTTAGGGTTGAGAGAGAGAGAGAGAGACAGTGTGTATGTGTGAGAGAGAGTGTGTGTATATGGTTTTTCGTCTCACCGCTGGCTGCTGCCCCACTCCTTCTGGTTGCTAAATCACTACCAAAATGGCTTCCCCAGAAAACTCAGGGAAGGGCCTGAAGTCTGGGCTGGGCCTAAATCCACGCCTCACAGCAGACACTCACCATGTCAGTCAGGCTGCAAAACTCTTCTAGCCTGAGGAGCATCTCTTCGATGGCCTCCTCCACCTCCTTCGCCTAAAAAGAGACAACATCCTGGAGATTAGCAAGTGGTTTCCAGGGAGACAAACACCCCGTCATTTTTTTTTAAAAGCATAAAGTCTTAGGATTATGTGCCCAGTTCCTTTTAGACCTCCTTCCCCTTTTCAAAAGCTCTGCAGCCTCTTTTAAAATAGCGATAAACCGACGACAATCTTAACGCCCATCAACAGAGGACTGGATAAAGACACTGAGGAACATCACTCTACACAGCTTTCAAAAAAGACGAGACAGATTTTTAAACACTAATGGGAAATAACAAAGCTACCCCTTATTGTCCCCATTACAGATGAGGAAACTGAGGACAGAGAGGTGAGGTAGGTTGTTCAAGGTCACACAGCTAACAAATGGTGGAGCCAGGATTCTAACATAGGCTTTGAGTCCACAGCCTCAAGGCCTGCTCTTATATACACTGTGAAATGCCCCCTGAAAAACCACAGAAAGAAAAAGTGAGCTGCAGAATATGTAGCATATAAACCTGTCTTTATAACAACAACAAAAATGTATATAGTTCAAGAGAGAAAAGCCTGGAATAATATGTATCAAACTGTTAACAGCTAGGAGACATACTCCAACACCTGTCTGTCAGTTTGTTGTACTGAGGCGGCTTGCATGTTGCTATGATGCTGGAAACTATGTCACTTGTATTTCAAATACCAGCAGGGTCGCTCACGGTGGACAGGTTTCAGCAGACCTTCCAGGCTAAGACAAACTAGGAATAAAGGTCTGGTGATCTACTTCCAAAAAATTAGCCAGTGCAAACCCTGTGACTCACCAGAGAACACTGTCCAACACAGTGCTTGAAGATGAGCCCCCTAGGCTGGAAGGCACTACACAATAGCCGCAACAATGGACTCAAACACACCAAGGATCACAAACATGGCGCAGGGCCAAGCAAGGTTTCACTCGGTTGTGCATGAGGCTGCCATGAGCCAACTTGACAGCAACTACCGACATGCTTATGCTAAAAAATTATTTGTTGTTTATCTTCAAATTCAGATTTAAGCGGCCATCCTGTACTTTACGTGGCAACCCTTAGTAATGGTGCTTACTAAGCCCAGGGAGCCCTGATGGTGCTCAGCTGTTAACTGAAAGGTTGGTGGTTCAAACCCACCCAGCAGCTCTGCAGGAAAAAGACCTGGTCATCTGCTCCCATAAAGATTACAGCCCAGGAAACCCCATGGGGCAGTCCTACTCTGTCACACGGGGCTGCTCCGACTCAGAATCGACTTAATGGCACCGACAGCAACAATAACTAAGCCTGGGGGGTAGGAACTGGGGAGTGGGGTCTGACAAGGGAAACTTGAACGTTGTGTGTTACCTGTCGGGTCTAACACTCAAACACTGTCAGGACCAGGCAGTAACACAAATGAATGACACACACCAGGGAGGCATGTGGTGATCTGGAAAGAGCCTGCAGTTCTAGAGCAGCCAGCCACTACCAGCCATCAGGAAACATATAGGCCCAGGGTTGCCAGATCTTTCCATTTTTCAAGGGAAGCCAGAAATTCTAATTTTATAGGAAACATCTCAATTTTTAAATATTGGCACAAATTCAAAAAAAAAAAAAAAAAAAAAGTTAGCGCTTCATGGGCCAAACAAAACATGAGAGGATCTGCCAGTTCACAGCCCCTGCTTACACGTGTGAAAATTAGTTTGAACTTTTATCCCCTCAAGTATGTGCTACTTTCTTGATTTATAAAACACCAGTTTTTTTTTTTTTTTAAATTACCAGGGCATCTAAGAAGTTCATGTAGAATATGAACCACTCTCTCTGGCATTCCCAGGCCAAATCGTTCCGCTCTAGGGAGGCGTTCCCAGACATTTCTGGGCAAGCCTTGTGCCCACCCCCCGCACCTGAAGGCCCCCCTCACCACCCACTCATCCCCGGGGAAATGTTTATACAGGGCCTGTGCCTGCTGCTTCCAGCGCGAGCTGTCACTACCACAACAAAATAAACGACTGCGCAAAAGACATCTTTCTGGCTGGAGTATAAATAGTACGAGTGCAATTTTAAACTCTGGAACCTGCACCTCACAGCTGGAGCTATTTCTGCAGAGACTTCATGGAGAAGGGGACCATGGTGGAGGGAGGACTAGGGAACACGCAGGAAGTGCCCCCCACCCCAAAAGTACAATGGTGGTACTAAACGTGATCAGTGCACTAAGAGAGGAACAAGGAAGGAGTAGGGGAAGGAAGGCCGGTCGCGCCTTCTGATCCCAAGCAAAGCAAGAGAGAGAGGAGAGGGCCACAGCCAGGCGACGGAGGCCCCCTCCGAAGACAGGTGTAGACGGCACGCTTAGGGAGGCAAAGCCTGTGGCGGAGACAAAATCCCATTTTCCTGCTGGATGGGAGGTCTCCTTCCCAAGACATTTACAAAGCTCTTCGCTTGTAGGAAATGCATCTCAACCTTCACTGAGTCGTAGTATGTTCAGAAAGGAAGTCAGCCTGTCCTGGGTTCAAATCCCATCTTCCCCTTTGCTAGCCATCTGGCCTTGATCCAATGGCTTAACTTCTGCACTGCTGGCTCACCTGTGATGGGAACACCATGCCCATGTGGCAGGGTGCTGGGAGGTTAACCCGAGGAAATAAATGCAGCTAGGTCACTCAGCAGAGTGCTGACACATAGTAGGTGTATAATAAGGGGTTGCTTTATGTACCTCTCTCAGAAGATGATAATAAAAACAGCGGGTAAACATTATATATGAACTCCACCACCATTTGTCAGTTTGTCCTACTGGGGAATGGGGAAGCTTCTGTGTTGCTATGATGCTGGAAGCTGTGCTACCAGTATTTCAAATACCAGCAGGGTTACCCATGGTGGACAGGTTTCAGCGGAACTTCCAGACTAAGACACGCTGGGAAGAAAGGCCTGGCAATCTAATTCCAAAAAAATTAACTAATGAACAGCCTATGGATCACAACAGAATATTGTCTGATGCAGAGCTGGAACATGAGCCCCGAGGTAGGAAAGCATCTCGCAAGAGCTGCAACAACGGACTCAAACGCATCAACGATCGTGAAGACGGTGCAGGATCGGGCAATGTTTCATTCTGTTACAGATGACATCACCTAGTGCAGTTGCCACTTCATCCAGCTGGTTGTGCCAGGTGAGAAAGTACCAAATCTGCTTTGTTCAAGACAAACAGTAACACAGATATTTATGTAAATCCCCATCGAGTCAGAGCTGACTCAGCAGTAACTATTAACAATGACAACGTGTGGATTATCTCATTTGATTCTCACAAGAACCCTAGACGGTAGGTGCTATAATCTTCCCCCCTTTTTAAAAATAGATTATGAAACAAGAGAATCAGAGAGGTTAAGTCACTTGCTGAAGGCCACACAGCTAATAAGTAATGAGGTCGGAATGTGACCCTGAGCAATCTGACTCTAGAGCCAAGTTCGTAACCCCAAGACACTCTTGGGGGATAAATGCGTCCCCTTTATTACTGCCTGTCAGCTGTGGTCTCTCTTCCCACTCCATCTCCAGTACCTAGGGCAGTGCCCAAGAGCAGGAGGCTGTGAAGAAAGCATCTGCTAACTGGTCAGCTACGGGAGGAACAAACCCAATATATTTCCAACAACAGGAAGGAGCTCAGATTAGCCACCACCCCCCCCCCCCACGCCCACAAATCATTCACAGGACAATTTTCTCCAGATAATCCCCTAAGTGGCCTCAGAGACAAGAGTCCCGCAGGCTGCAGCCCACATGCCTTTTTAACCAGCCCGAAAGCAACATGCAAGCCTCTTGGTTCTTTGTAGCTCTCTGGCATAAATCATCCCACTCCCAGGGAAGGAGGCAAATGGCTCACTTCAAGTGACGCTGAGGGAACGATCAGCCAAGATGGCGAGTGGACGTTCTTTAACGCGTAAATCACGGCGCTTGCTTTCTCTTTCCACATCCCCTCTTCTCCCCAAGCGCTGCTCCAAGCTTCCCGACGGAGCACGCCAAAAAACTGACAAGGGGCCAACCCCAGCCCACCAAGTGCTGGGCACAGAAAAACACAAAAAGACACTCCATCGCGTGCTTTTCTCCAATTTAACAAACAGAAACTCCACGGTCCAGCCACTCAGGCCGAACACCATGAAGCATCTGGACACCTCTCTTTCTCAGCACCCCTTCCCCCCAACCCAATCTGCCAGCAAACCCTCTCGGTTCTATCTTCAAAATGTCCCCCCGATCTAATCACTCCTCTCCACCTCTGACGCCACCACCCCGGTTCACGGTGCTGTCATCTCTCGCTGGGCCTAGTGCAGCAGCCACTTCATCCAGCTGGCTATGCCAGGTGAGACGGTCCCAAACCTGCTTTGTTCAAGACAAACAGTAACACAGATATTTATGTAAATGTCTCCACTTCTAAAATGTTCAAAACTAACCTAAAACTTTTTAGAACACTACAAGAGCCAAAAGGAGCCCTGGCAGCACCACGGTTAAAAGCTTGGCTGCTAACTGAAATGTGGGCAGTTCGAACTCACCCAGCAGCTCCAGGGAGAAAGACCTGGCAATCTGCTCCCATAATGATTACGGCCTAGAAGACCCTACAGGGCAGTTCTACTCTGTCACAGGGGGTCACTATGAGTCGGAATCTGCTCGATGGCATCTAACAACAACATGAGAACCAAATAAAACACGTCTGCCGCTGAATGTGGCCTTCAGGCTGCTGATCTATCAGTGTCTTTAAAACACAAACATATGCACCGTTCATGACAGGCAAATCTATAGAGATGGGCAGTAGATTAGTGGTTGCCTAGGGCTGGGGGGCTTGAGGGGTGACAGCTAAGGGGTGTGGGTTTCTTTTCGGGGCAATGAAAATGTTCTAACACTGATTGTGGTGATAGATGCACAACTCCGTGAACATACTAAACACTATTGAAACGTACACTTTGAACGGGTGAATTACAGCTCCATAAAGCTGTTAAAACACATACATTACACACACACACATACGAACAAAAACACTAGAGAATCCTTCCAG